CCCCCCCCCCCCCATATCCCTCCCTAAAACCTCTACCCCTCTCCCCGTGTCGGTCCTCTTCTGCTTCTTTGCTTCGCTCTCTGTGTCTCCTGTATCTTTTTCTTTCATCTTCTTCTTCTTCTTCTTCTTCTTCTTCGTCGTCGTCGTCGTCGTCGTCTCGATTTTTTTTATTTTTTTTTATTTTTATTTATTATTCAATGGAGGCCAGGAGGTGCTCGTTAATTGATGGCACCGGCTATGGTCGGACAGGGAAGGGAGAAAACTCGAGGTGGGTCCCCCACCCCCTTCCCTTGAAGAAGAGGACCACGAGACCACCATCGCCTTATTTATAACGCCGGGGGTAACCGAATTCACGATCAAAATGCCGCGTTCCGCGGCATTGATGGATCGCCGCGGCTGTGCACCGCGTCGCGGTATTTTCAAATGGACCCACCCTTTTTCCTCGTCAGGCCCGCCATCGAAAGACTCCCTTCGAGCTGGCAACGAATTCTGCCCCTCATCCTGCGAAACCTTCCATTTCTATGCGCATAGATAAACACCGGTGCTGGGCAAAATATAATCCATGATTACCGCTACCGAGCAATCGGTAACAATCGAATGATTTACTATCATTTATCGAATTATTATTGAAAAGATACCGTGTCCAACGTAACAAACATACGAAACGGTAAAAAATGGTAACAGAAGGTGACAACTCCATCAAAGATTGAATAATCACTAAGTACCCGTTAAATGTAAAAGTTTCGTTACTTGGGAAATAAACTTTTTCATCTCCTCTCTAGTAGACCTGCCAGGTTGGTGGCCCTGACTAACATTTTCAATCTTCCAGATTAGACATTCTATTGTATAAATTTTAATAAACAGCCCTTTTACAATCTGTCTATCTATCTATCTGTATTTGGTTGCTGCCACTTATGAATTTTGAGAGAGAAACTACCCCTATCCTATCTCCGTCTAGGTAAATTCTGCACTTCGGAAAATATTGTGAAACGTTTCGAATAAAAATTTGAAAAGAAACCCATTTTCACTGAATAAAAATATCATGAGTGTACAATAGAATTTTTGAACCAGCTCCGATATAGAGGGTAGTTTCTCTCTTGCACACAGCACCCTGTAGACGCACTCTGTATACACATCTAATACTGACACATTAACGGTACTGCTCGTGTCTTTGAGTGAAATACTTGGGAAAACTTGCAGTTTGAAAGCTAATCGTGTCAAACGGAGTCAACTCTGAATTGATACTTTTCTATTAACCATTGCTGCATGAGGTACAATTGTAGCCAAGGGTTGTAATTTAAGTTCAAACGTAATTAAACAATTTTTGCAGGCTGCTGGGTCGTGGTTCCATGCACGTCTTTTCTTGTGAACAGTTTCAAAAGCTGATGGACGCCAGTGGCTTTTCAGGACCATGGCATTCCTTGGTGGACTTGGGAGCGGGGGACGGTGCCACCACCGCTCACGTTGCTCACCTCTTTGAAAAAGTTTATGCTACGGACATATCAGCTCCGATGAGGTGGGCTCTGACCAAAAGAAAATTTACGTAAGTTTCGTTCCATCTTTGGGTCGTTTGGTTTTCATCTGAACTCAATGCTATTGGGAAATTGGTATTATCGCGTAACGACGCGGCTGTTGATGATGGTACGCCGGTATGCAATGGCTCCGTCGTGCACTAGTACAAGTTTATCGCACCCAATTGATTGGAGTAGAAGTTTACGGTGGTTTTACACCCTGGCTGTCTCTCATCGATACAGACAGCCAGTTGCTTTGCTCGAATTTTAAATAAGTCTCCGTAGGGTACAACGCGCACGTAACGTTTTATAGAAATCCGTTTGGTCTTCTTTTCAAACTATCCCGAACTCCTCCGAACGTACTGTCCCGCGTAACTTAATCGAGGATATTGTTGTGACGCGACCGTCTCTGTTGATTTATAGGGTGCTCGACGTAGAAAAGTGGTACGAAACCGGTCCGTTTAACACCATACTATGTCTGAATTTATTGGACCGATGCGACCGACCAAACACACTCCTGAGACGTTTGAAAAAGTCCCTGGCTCCTGGTGGCAGGCTGATCGTGGCCCTGGTCCTACCCTTCAGCCCTTACGTCGAGTGCGGCGAAAGGAGCGATCACAAACCGTCGGAGTACCTGCCAGTGAAAGGGAACGGTTTGGAAGATCAGATCGCTAGCCTGGTCGACAGAGTTTTCGCACCTTTGGGCTTGAGGTGCCTCGTGTGGAGCAAGCTGCCTTACCTCTGCGAGGGCGATCTCGGCCAGGCGTATTACTTTCTCGACGACGTGGTTTTCGTTTTAGAGGCACAGCCCGTTAGTACACAATCCTGCGAATTTTCAATCGGATACGTTTCGAAAAACTCATAAGCGAGAAGCTTTTAGGACACCTCGCGGTACTTCGCCTCCGAGTGGACGGATACCGCCGAGCCTTGGAACGGACAACGGGGACACGCTAATTGGACATGATCGCGGGAGAGAGAAAGAGATGTAACACAGGCAAGTCACACTTGTAAAAACTTTTTAATGATTGCTGTCATGAATCAGAATTATGCGAGAATACAGAAGAGCAATACTGGCAAGCGACAACGAGCTTAATGTGCAGATACAGCGGTAGCATTGGTGTGTATCGTTATCATTAATTGTCGTCCATTCGCGGACAACGAATGAACAAACGACGGTGCGCATTTTACAACGATCTTACTGTCAAAGTCGGTGCAGAAACTTGTACACGGTTCTCTATGGTATAAATATGGCGCGGAGAGCAATAAAACTCGGAAACGTATTCTGAACGGCTCACGTGCGATCTTACCTCGCAATTGTTTATTGTTTAATTTCCCTCGATACTTGCTTTTTGTACCTTTATCAGACTTGGTTTCCGCGCTCCCTCGTCTTCGTCTCGCGTGTGCGGAGCGTTTCGTCCGACTCGGTCGCTTAAAGTATCGTCGTTGCGCGCTTAGTGGGCGCGAGGAAATGTCTAAGCGAGGTGCAGATTTCTTTTCGACGTGTTTAATATTTCCTTGGACATACTCTTTGAAATTTCAAACTCGTGTTTTTTTTTTTAATATAATATCGAACGTAAGAAAAAAAAAATTCAACTCATCGTAACACTTGTCCCTTAAAAGCAAGCGATACCTTCCTAGATAATTCCTTGCACCACCGGAAGTAACAAAAAAAGTTTTAAGCGATCAAGTGAAGCAAGACACCCAGCACGACGCGATTTAATCATGGATATGCTTAGTTGTGTCGATACTTCGACAGCAAGACAAACGCCGATACGTTTGTATTAGTTTTACATAGCTACTAGAAGAAATAAGTCCATTTAGTTGTTGTAAATACACTTTGGTGTGTAACAGGTAATTGTCGAATTACTTAGGTGATATTGCAGCAGCCTTATATTAAGATATATTAAATAACAAAAACATGGGATACACAGGACTCAAATTTCAGTTATTTAGAAATCAGGTATCCAGTGATGAGATTCTTGCGTTTACATTACTTGTTAAAATTCGATATAATCCAGTCTCTAGATGATGTTTAATTTCAATATAAATTCTAGTAAACTGCTTAAATACCATAATCATAGAACAATAGATTTTTAAAAAATATTAGTAGCCTTGGAACTTGTTATCGTCTCCCCAAGCACACCTGCACATACTCAAACACCTCGTATTAACGAAGAAGCGAGTATATATACTAAAAATAAATGTAGAGCAAAATAATTTCCATTTGGCAGTGACGTATATGCATACGTGAATTAAATCGTCGTGGAAATCTGAGTCCTGTTAACGAGTGATCGACACATTTGCTGCAGACATTGTAAATAAATATACATGCGTTTATAACAGACACATCTCTAGACAGGGTGTTAGAGAGGGTTCAGGACTTAGAGAGCAGATAGCACTCGCTACACCGAGTAAAAAATGTTTGGTCTGTTCGTTGCATTTCATTTCATTTGTTCGTTAATTTTCATGTTTATAAAAAGGTATCCTCTTTTATTTCGATTTGTATCATCGTGTCGCATTAATATTATACTATTTTTACCACGTAAGAAGCAGACAAGTTGTTAGGTTACCAAAACCTAAGTTGACCAATTATTTTTTATTCAGTTTAGACAGTTCTACGTATTCTCCAAGTCTTGGAGATTTTCTCTTAACGCATCCGATACTGCCACATTATTACAAGACCATCCTCGGTAACCACAGACTAAATGAGTGAAAATGTTGATCCTTAGACTGAGTTATCGGTTTCGAATGCGTTAACAACTCTGTGAGAAGATATTTAGACACACTCATACGTAGACATTCACGCATGTCCATATAAAATTTTGCTAATTCTAAGCCGAAACATTATGTTCGTTGAATCCACGTACAAACAATATCCATGCATTCATCGGTTCCCACGCACTCGATTACACAAATTTATTGTTTATATTCAGTAAACGTATAGTCCGTAATTTGATATTATCGAGCAAGAAGGAAACATTTCACCATCGCAGATATGCGTATAACAATCGAGTTTAAAACGACTTTACTTCTACAACGAAAACAAAATGCATTTCATCGAAGGATAATCGATCGAGATGACACATAATAATTTTTTTTTTGTTCATCGCGTAATTTCGCGGTTTGCAGAGGTAATATCGCTCTTAAGTAATATTAGTGCACAGAGAGAGAATTTTGAGCATCAGTGCAAATCTCACTTTAAAACTTTTTTTTTTTTAATAATGTAACTCGTTCTCGTAACACGTACTTGAAAAATATCTATGAATTGACCGATGATTTTTTTTTTACGTGCACACCGCATATCACTGCCCATGGAGCTTATAAATTATTGCAAATCCTAACACTTTTTGCTCTCGTTAGCGAACAATAATAGACATAACAATAATATATGCTTGACTTATTCTTGTAAAGAAACGATAATTCGTTCAATGTAATTTTTAAGAAATTTATATATATATATATATATGTGTATATATTTATAAACATACAAATTGAATATTTCTTTTAACTAGATAACTTTGTCACGACTTTAGTCATGCAAATAAAAACAATATTCCACGGTTACGTGGCAAACATTAGAAGACTATTAAAAAAATTAAATAACGCGAGGTCAAATGATAACAATTATGATTTCTTACTTATACTTCCACATTTAAAGTAACCACAATAATATTTAATTACCAAACATTTAAAACTTGTATATAAGACTATTAGCCTCTATATTTCACTCAATCTTTCAGTGCACACATAAAATTTACCTATATAACTCATAAAGAATTGTTATAATACATTATTAATCAGGTAATCATTGGAACACAAATGGTGAGTTATTAAATCAATATATAATAATAAAATATAAATGCTGTATCGTAATACGTGTAATAAGCAAATTACGTGTTGCGCGGCTGATAATTGAAAATTATCCGACCGTCGTTGCTAAGTAAGCCCCATAGGCAGATTGTACAAATTCGAGAAAGATCATAGGACGAAAATAAAGCTGTTTTAAATCTGAAATAACGGTGTGAATTTCGATTGACTATATATAAATTTTTTTTTTTTTCACTACCCACGTTTATCACAGTCCACGCATGACTCATTTTGTCTCATTTTAGTATTCTGAGGTCCTAAACGCCAACAACATTTGAGCAATCCTTCGGGTTGTTTAAATACAAAACACCCATCTAACCCATAAACACCACATGACTAGAACATCATAGAGCGCAAAGACGAAACTTGGTCTAACACTTAAAAAGCGAAGACATCGTTTAGTCTAGCTTGCGTTGTTCGCACAACTCTTCTAAACCTCCAGTCTTTCTGCATAAAAATTATAACTCTTTATTTGATATCTCTAGTCATGTAACGAGGGTATACTTACAATATAAACCATAAGAAATACTTACAATGATGGGAGATAAGGAGTACCCGTATGATCTAATCGATGCTTATCTTCATTTTTCCAGCTTGACACGGGAATATGTGGAGGTGGCAGGAAACTTCTTAATGACTGCACAAGCTGTATGGTATCGACTAACGCTATAACAAATAAATATGCATTTCAGTGATATTGTTAACAAAGAAAGATAAGGAAAATACTATATAATTGCGAAAATAGTATTAATACTTGACAATAGCACGCATCGATGCGATATCGTGCAATATGTAATTATTATAATTTGTAAAATGACTTTACATGATATAAACATGATATTAAACATTTTTTTGAAAAATAAACTTCATTTTTGCAATAACGGTGTTCGAAAAATAGTGATTTGTATTTAAATTAACAACCGTGTTATTAATTCGGACAGTACTACGAGTATATTTTCCAAATGTAATATTAAGGAATAGACATAAATTATGTATTTCATTACTTTTTTGCAAAGCTTCTGATTGTTTTCCATATGGTTTGCACATTGCAGGACGAACACAAGCCTTCATTCTTGCCATATTCTTCATAACCTCAGCAAAAGCCCTTACTATTTTCTCTTGTCCACCTAGAAAGTAATAAGATTTGCTCATTATATAGAAATTCGAGTTTATATCTTGAAGATTATGCGACCTATCAACAACCTTCTGAATTTGAAGAAGAGCGAGATCCTTTTTCGTTTTCCAATGGCCATGCTCCATTATGCAATGCTAACAGATCCTTATTTGCATTTCCTATTCCTTGTAGATTCCCTAAACCAAGTCCACCAAGATTGTCCAAATTATCCAAATTTGTTCTTAAAAAATCTGTTAATTTATGATCAGACATGGAAATTGTAGGTACTAAAGATTCGTAATGCTGCTTCCCAGTTGTTACTTTTTTTTCTTGCGACACGGGCCGATGCGGAATATTTAACGATGGACGGCTTGGAGGACGTTGAAGATTCATTTGGTTTCCAGCACCTCTAATTTCTGACAAATCTGCTTGAGATCCTCCTCCCATATGAGTATTTGGATTAGCACCGCTTAAACTCTACAATAGGGATCAACAATATTATTAACAAAAACAAAGATACAGGAAAATTATAAATGCATATAAATTAATATTAATATACTACTGCTTACTGCTTGAAAATCTGTATTGTGAGGGAAGCTACTACGTAAAAGAGATGCTGTTGTTTCGTTATCCTGAATATAAGTTGGCGCCATGTGTCCCATTTTTTGTGTTAATTCCAATTGATTTTTGTAATAACGGCAAGCAGGATTTGGACAGTTTTGTACCACCTCGATTATAAATTCCTTTTCCATACCAAAACATTCACGCCCAATTGTGTAAGATTCCATAACAGCTCTAACCGTGCCTTCTAAGCCTAAATGTAGACCATGTGGACCATTCATGTGCTTCAACATCACAGCATTTGCGAAATGTTCGTATGGTAATATTATTTTCCCATTTTCTCTAAGGACTAGTCTTCCCTGAGAGTCCAAAGCTATTCTTGACGCCATCATCCTATTTATACATTAGAATGCATATAGTGAAAACATCAGAGAACTTTATACAAAAGAATATATACTTTGCATGAAAGTAAGATAATTCTTTTTATACATATATTTAAAACAGTGCATTCTTACTGCAAATAAGCAGCACTTGGGATCATAGATGCATCCTTGAATTCGGAAAAACATTGCAGGAGTTCTATGCTCGGATTCCAACCTTTATTTTGAAGATAGGCTTGTAATAACATATACATCTTCTCGGTAACATAACCAGCGCTACTCGGTGTACCAGGATAACCAGAACCTCCACCGGGTGGTCCCATTTCGGTTTGCATACCTTTGGCAACAATGTTTTTCATAGTTTCTGCCAAGTCCATTCTGTACAAATGGAACCATCTACTTTAAAACTCTTTATGTACAAAAACAAACTATCATCTCTCAAAATTGAGGAAATCAAAACATATGTAGTAAAGAAGATCAAAATTAATAAATGATCAGGTAAATTACACAAAAAAAAAAATTAATACAATTCGTTGCCGATTCGTAATTACAAAATTTCATAATCTGTGTAATTAACTCACACGAAAACAATTTACAAAAAAAAAAAGAAACAAATTAAAATGTACAGTAGCCGTACCGATGCTAATTGACACACGTAATAAGAAAGGGTCAGGAAAATGCATGTAGGTTGCCAGGGTAGCAAGCTTGACATTTTAAAAATCCATGCATATTCGAATCCTCCGGCCATTGTTATTTTCGAGATGAAGACGTCTAAAGAAACGATAAAAAAACACTGATGCGAGCCACCGCCCCCCTTTAAAAGCGGGGGGAATGAACGTTTTGGACACTCACCCCGTACCGAGCACAATTCTCACTCACTCGAAGTGCAACCGGGAACGCTACAGGGCCCGTTTATCACCCTAATCGCCGCTACTTGGCATACCCTCATTAATGATGATTCTTCTCACATTTGCAAATAACATAAATCGCGATAATTATTTCCGCAAGGATTGTTGCGTCGCCGGCCGCCAGGGGCGCATCACCTTCGCAATTTTTAGCGTATCCGCTCCGTCGCGTATGTATGCATCCACAACTTACGGCACTCCGGCGCTTACGCGACGCCACTTTGCGCATTTATCAATATTGCTTTTACTTTCCCGGCTGTTGAATACAACAGAGGCCAAGTATTGCTATCGATCAAAATTTCACCCATCCCTGGGATTTTGCTTTCCCCGGATATTCCGAGCTACCCTCGGTTTTGAAAATATAAAAAAAAGTAACTTCTACGCGTGTAAAGCATCGAAGCTGATCGATGTCATTCAAAATCTTCAAAAAAAGAAAAAAAAACTTACAATTAGTCTTCTTCTTTTTTTTTTGTTTTAAATTCGTAGCATTCCACCAGCTACAAAAGAATGTTTTCATCGAATCAAACAAAACGTACATACTTAATTACGTGTTACGATTTAAATTTCATACTACTTAACTTAATTTACATATATTTTATTACGCTTATTTTAATTCCTATGGTATTCGAATTATACAATTTTTTTATACTACCATTCGGCGACACAGATTTTTTCTACGCGGAGAGACAGCGAAGATGAGTAAAATGTATTTAAACAAATATTTAAACGACGAACGTCTTACTAATTTCAATTTTATTTAAGAAATAAAAGATAACTCATTGTATTAAATGTTATTGATAATGGAGAAATGTACATGTACTTATCATTTTTAAATATTACATTGTATAATATTAAGTATATTTGCAGAAATATGATAAAATAACTTTACATTTAAAAATAGACGTTGTAAAAGAAGGGAAAGTATGTTTAAATATTTCTTAAACTAGGCGGGCACTTGTGAGTTTAGCATTTTTTATCGAGTTAATAGCCATCTAGCGGTGAACAGGCCGAACTAATTTTCGGAGTTTGGTCACTGCCTCTATCAGGAAAACGCTCAAGTTTGTCCTCGATAGTTCCTTTTACACCGCTAGATGGCGCTCTTAGATGGTAATTACCGACATGATGGTAATGTACCGATTGTTGTCGGTAAGAAAGAGTGTAAATGGCGCCATTTGTTTGTCCTCGAATAGTTCCATTTTTTACCCCCAGATGGCGCCATTAATGCTAATTTAAAATACCGACGTTACAGTTTTATATGTTTTCTACTTCTTAACGATAACAAATAGAATTCTGAATGTATTTTATCTTTTACTGAAGCATTAGTAGTACAAGAAATAATACGCATGATGAATTCACTCCTATCTATAAAGTAAGAGTAATGGTAAATGGCCAGAAAAATGGAATTTGTAGTATCGACGGTATTTTTATCGGCAGAACCCCTAAACTACAAAAGGGTTTCCGCTTTTGCCGCAATTGGCGCCACTAATGTTTATACATTCTATAGACAATTTGCATATCCTCTTTTTATTTAAATGTATAGATGATGGGAATAATTGCTGCATTTTAATGGATCTTTACAACTGTAATTATTGATGTCTGCGAATAATGTCAAACTTCATATCTAGGAAGCATGAAAAATCATAACTTATAGCATAATATGTAAACAATTTAACTCATACTGTTATTCTGAAAGTCATGCATGTCTTACGATCTTGTTAGTCTAAAGAATAAATAAACAACAAAGTATTTAAAAGGAATTTTCATTTCCAAATTGCATACAAGTATAATTCCTAAATTTTCGGAACAAGTTAACTCGTCTTGCCCACTGCAAAAGTATTTAGATACATTTAATTCTTTTAAATTCATTAGTATAAGAACTATCGTATATTTGTGAGATCTGCAAATCATGTACTCATTCAGACTCGTGATTCGTATGGTCTACTAGTACAATCCTTGCAATATGCGACTTATTATATGTTAATATCCTTTTATACATGCGTATGTGAAGTTTTAACTTCGTGAAAGATTCAAATTTAAATTGCTCGTAAAGGCAATGATACCAATTACACAAGCGGAAAAGAGAAATATTCCAAAGAGCGTAAACATGGCCTCGCCTGACAATCACGGTGTTCAGCGAGTTTTAGCAAAATTACAGGCGTCCATAAATTCAGGAAATTATTATGAAGCTCATCAAATGTATAGAACTTTATATTTTAGGTGAGCGTAGAATCTAATTAATCAACATCGTCAAAAAATGATTTTAGTGCGATCGTCGATATCATTGCTTAACCTCTTCTTCCAGATATGTTGTACAGAAAAAGTATTCGGAAGTCTTGGAATTACTATACCATGGTTCTACCCTTTTATTACAACACGAACAAGTATGTAACGGACTTTAACAACGTTACTACAGTAAATTTTTATCTATATTTTGCTAAAGGAAACACTTTTATACTGACGTCATATTATTTATTTTCAAGTGTTATTTACAAATTTCCTTCTTGAACGGTCTATATTTAAAATTTATTATTAGTGATCGTTGGATACTGTGTATACTGCAATTATTTTTATTAGAAGGATTATAAAGAGATTCAAATCCATTTCCTATAAAAGCATCTAGAATATTCCAAGAGTTAATAAATCATACCATGTGTTTTGTATTAATTATTAGCAGAGTATAGTAATTTATTACATGGTAATCTGCATCTATATGTACAATAGCTATATTAAAATAAATAATTTACTACATCATATTCCAGCATGCTAGTGGAGCTGACCTAGGAATTTTATTTGTAAAAGTCTTAATGCAATCAATGACAGAACCATCTCAAGCCTATTTTGAAAAAATTACAAACTTATTTAGTTTAATGAGTCCCTCATTGCCTGAGAGATTTACATTTGTGCAATCTGCTATTGCATGGAGTATGAAGGCGGACAACTCTGATTTACATAAAATGGTAGCACAAGTATATTGGAGAGGTAATCGATTTAATAAAAAAGATATATCGATGATTTAGTTCTTGCTGATAACATATTGCAAATTTTTCTCTTAGAAAAAGACTATATAATGGCAAAACATCATTTCATACGTAGTAAAGATGGTTCTGGATGTGCTGCGATGCTTGTTGAATTACACGAACAACGTGGTTATACAAATGAAGTAGACCTTTTTATAGCCCAAATAGTTTTCCAGTAAGCATGTTTTATTAATCTACCTATTCAAATAAAGTTTATAAATATTTAAAATATTATATAAAATGTATACAATTTGTATAATGATATAAATTTTTTGCAGATACCTCTGTTTAAAAAATAAAGCAACCGCACAGGAAGTTTTCAATTCTTATACTTCGCAACATCCAAAAATAAACAGCGGCCCTCCATATATTCTTCCTTTGTTGAATTTTTTATTTTTTTTATTAAAAGTAATTGATAGGTAAGTTGGAATTATTTATTTATGTAATACATAGGAACACTTAATTTATACCAATTCTGTATACATATATGTAATACAATACATATTTTTCAGTGGTGAACTCGTCGTATTTACAGTACTTCGTGAACAATATCAAGTGTCTTTAAATAGAGATCCATCTTATCAAGAGCGCTTAGACACAATAGGGCAATTGTTTTTCAATATTCCATCCTCACGTCCTTCTCGGCAAGGAATTTTTCGTTATCTTGTACAATCTATTCTTAATGATCATGGAAACGAAGACTTCGATGATGAACAAAGAAATACAGCATCAACCTCGTATACAACACACGATCTGGACTAATTAAAGGTTGCACATCATCGTGCAAAGTAATACAAGTAAATAATGAACTTATATGCATATATATACGTACACATGTATCAGTCTCACATATTTTCAAAAAATCCATTATGCTATTATTTCAAATTTTCAAAAGAATAGTGAATTGAAATTAACTTTTTTAAATAACTTGTATAGATAAAATGATTTAAAATAAAAATATGTGGGATACATTACCAAAGGAGTTTTTCAAAGTTTGAAAGTTGTATATTTCGAATAATTCGCATAAATTCACTCTTCAAAGATTATCATGGAAAGAGGCATTTTAAAAAGGTAACGAAAGCAAGATTTAATACCATTATACTGAAATTTACTCATTACATTTGAATCACGTAAATAGATTCCTTGAACTTAAACTTTGAACAAGATCCTTGTAGTAGTTACGATCCGTATATCATACATATATTTAAAAACAAACGTGTATTTGAGTGTAATTGCTAAAACGAAGATTTATTTTATATAAACTTAATCGTGTGACAAATAAACCTGATATATATATATACTTACAGTTTCAGAAAAAGAGTGATTAATAATACTACTTGTTGGTAAATTATTAAATGAATTAAAGCGATTTGAACATAAGTAAATTTCATAGCAACAGGCAAAATATTTATTTATTCAACTCTGTATTAATGTAAACAAGATTGTTTAAAATTTCAGTAGAAAAGTACTTAACATATTTAGTTACGAAAATTAAATTGCCATTATTCTGTAACAAAGCACTTTGCAGTACTAATAAGAATAATATTTTATTGCTGTGCATTGAATAAAAAAAAAAGTACGGGACAAATATGATTATAAATATAGACTTATAATAAGTATATACATATATATACTAGACATATATGTATGTATAGACATATGTTGTATATGTGTCTATATGTATCCATATAAAAGTACACATGTGTACACAGAATATCCTTTCATTATGGGTATAGAAGCTTATTTTTACATAATTTATAAATACAGTAAATATTGTGCAAATATACAACGTTCAAAATATAAAAATTTATACAATTTCAATAGTAGGAACGATTTCCCTTCAAAGGGAAATATTTGTGTTTATAAAATTCAGGCATTTCATATAATATATTGACAAGAATAATATGTGAAATTACTTAATTTTTCATAAATTATTTGAAAAAGGTATTAGAGAATTATAGAATTGATTTATAAAGATCATGTACTGACGCTAATATGTGTGGTCACATTTTTGCTCCAAAAGCTTTTCACAATGAGGTAATGAGGAAATCCAAGTGTAAAATATTTGGATAATTAGTATATAAATATTATATACAGTCCAATAGTCAAAGTAAAATAATGTACAAATAAAAGATTCATATTATCTATAATGATTCAACAATCTTTATTTCAAATTTCCTTTGACAAGACTATGAATGAACGTATTCGCACCTCATTAAAAATTATTTTATTAAGAATAATCAACTGAATAAATGATATAAACATTACTTAATTCGAATCGGCCATTATGTTCCTACTTAAAATCCGTTTCTATTATTCAACAACAGGATCCATGATATTACTGTCTACAAATTAATTATAAATTATAGTGCGTTGTTAAATCTTTACTAATGTTGATATTAATAAGTTATTATATGTAATTAATTTATATCATAATTCTTGTGAAATATTAATTACCAACATGCTAATGATTCTCAATTACAAAACA